ACTATGTACGTAAACACAGCCAGGCCCATGAACATATCACACACACATAATATTATTAGGAGGAAAAAATAACTGTAACCTAAAACAATTATTTATATTTCTACAAATTATAAGTTCTAAATCATTCATTTGTTTTTAAAGTGAGAAACATATTGTTACGTTCGTAACATGTATCTTCGACATAAAATGTAATAATTTAAATAAATTGATCATATCAATATGTAGGTGCTTTCGAAAAAGTGAAATCTCATTTTGGTTGTATTGATATCGTTTGCAATAATGCTGCGGTCCCAAATGAGACTGACTGGGAATCAACAGTGAACGTGAATTTAGTAAGTATTGTATTGTATTAGAAAAATCAAAAGAAATCAATTATGAATTGTTTAGAAATACATAAACAGTATTCACATACTATTTTGGCGAGCATACTTCATTGTGTCATCGTCGATATAATAATATGTTTGGTTTTTGCCGATAATGTATTACATAAATTACCTTAGAAGGTCTAAGTATATTATTCTGGTGTATGTCATAACATTACTGGTTGATTATAATACTTTTCAATACATGGCGATGCAATAAGATGTGAAAACAAAATATCTTCCATAATTACTTATCTGTATGGTATGAGCGCCAGTTATTTTAATATATGGGTTTGTTTGCTTGGGTGTTGTGTCTTGCAGTCATCCTTCATTATAACTATGATTAAACTTTAAATTTGCGTTTCTTAGGGTAATACAATTCATAATATAACAACCAGTCTCAAATTACATTCTCGAGATATCACAAATTTTACTCACTTATTTATAATATCAATCAATTAGAAACTACTAAGTGAAAAACTCCACAATAAAATTTCATCAATACCTAGCTAAAAACATTTGCAGCTTTCCACAAGAAGATCAATTGAAAAACAGCATTTTCTACATATTTAAACAAATGAGCATAAAATTACTCTATACACTGGTGATGACTAACTTCATATAAAATAATGATAAATATAGCTGTAGACTGTCGCAACATATATATATTATTCTTTTCAACATAATGAGTATTAGTAAAGGCATATTAGGAATATATCTCTGAAAATCACATTTATGCATAATTGATGAGGCCACGCGATCATGTTCACTAAAATCTCTGCTTTTATGTGCACTATATCTATTTATTCAGAACTCTGAAAATTAAATATGCACATAAATATTGAGATCACATGATCAAATAATAATTCAACCGACTCTGTCCATAAATGTGCTCAATATTTAATAAGCAGCAATTTGTTTCTGCAATAGAACACTCCCCAATTATACAAGAAACTTTTGTTCAAATAATACACGATAAATTCCAAACATTCATTATATACATTTATAATTAACC